AAAAAGTTCGATTGAAATAAAAATTCACGTGACACGTGAATTAACCGATGAGAAAGAAATTGAAATTCGGGACTGATCGAATAGGCGTTTAAATAGCCAGGGAATCAGAGATTGCGTTAACGGTGAGGCAACGTACGTGACGATTACGGTTCGCTTGGTGACATAACGTTTCCGGTGACGGATGACGGTATGATCGTAATTCAGTCGCTAAAATGTATTCTCGCGTGGCAATATCGAAACAGGCCAATATCGTTAACTCTAATTCGCTTACGTTTGCGCACGCATTGTCGAGCGGTAATAACAAGATTAATAATGCGACCCTCGTCGATAATAATCGCGAAATCACGTACCCGTGCCAATATCACCCCTCTCGATTTTGGTTAGCCACGTTGGTACCGACTGACATGGAATTAACAATCGACAACGTCATTCCTTTACTTGTCTACTTTTCACCGATTTCACTTTCCTTCTGAAACATTTACGTTGTAACTTTGAACTTTTTACTACAATTTTGGATTAGGGACATTTAGGGGACATGATAGGAGACATGATGAACATTTTGGGAACTTTGGATATGTGGTTGGACATATATGTTTGATACCTAGATGACATGTGAGCATACGTGAACATCACACGTTGAGTGACCACATATCTTAATAGTATGTTAACATACAACGTTAAGTGACCATCAGATGTCTTAATAATACATTGACATACGTTAAGTGACCATCACATGTGCTTTAATAATACATTGACATACGTTAAGTGACCATCACACGTGTCTTAACAATACCATACAACGGTAGGTGATCAAGTCAAACAGCAATCTAAGCACCTGAACACACAAATGGACCATGAAACAAATATTTAGCCTACCCCTTAATAACAATATTAAATCTAAAAGTGACAACTTTCACTATGTAACCTTTGAAAAATGTTTGCTCGTTCAATTCTTATTTTCCACATAAACGAACAAAGGGCAAAGCCCTCATTTCAGCAACGAAGAATCGTAACAAGGACTTTGAAGTTGAGCCAGAGCTCGTCGAAGCAACACTCAGAGAACGGACATTGGAGTGTAATTCGGCAGCAGGGTCTCAGTTAGGGTATTTTGTATGGTGGAGCAGGGTGAGATCGATGCAAGAACCGTCGCCCTTCGTTCGCAGTAGCAGAAGGCTTTTAGTTGGCTTCGCTACAAGAAGCAATTGTAAGGCTGGGAGGGCCGGTTGCGCGCTCGAGGCTCTTTGTATTGTCACATCATCGAGATACGCTGTATTGATTTCGAATCGATACAGAGTCGCGAAGCACTTCGTATCTCCCGTTGGCCTTTGTGCCGAGGAAGCATTGTGCATCGGATATGTAGGTCATCGAATTTTGCTCATCGGCTTCGATGTTCGGCTCTCGTTGCCTCTCTGTTTGTCAGCGAACTACGCCAGAACGATTCTGATGCGTCGATGAACTCTCATATTACTCGTATTTCGTTCGGCGCATTCTTTCCAACGTTTCATACGATACCGCGTTTCGGATCGGCACGAAAATTTCGATGCGCGAGATGACATTCTTTGATATTTTACTGGCATGTGGGAGATCTCGAGATTTGGACCTTGCAATTTTTTTATTTTTGAAGGTTGGAAGGGTTTGGGGATTTAGGGGTTCTGGGATTTAGAATTTTAGGAGGTTTGGGGATTTTTGGGGTAGTGGACTGCTGGATTGGTGGATTGGTGGATTGGTGGATTGGTGGATTGGTGGATTGGTGGATTGGTGGATTGGTGGATTGGTGGATTGGTGGATTGGTGGATTGGTGGATTGGTGGATTGGTGGATTGGTGGATTGGTGGATTGGTGGATTGGTGGATTGGTGGATTGGTGGATTGGTGGATTGGTGGTGATTGGGGTGGATTGGTGGATTGGTGGATTGGTGGATTGGTGGATTGGTGGATTGGTGGATTGGTGGATTGGTGGATTGGTGGATTGGTGGATTGGTGGATTGGTGGATTGGTGGATTGGTGGATTGGTGGATTGGTGGATTGGTGGATTGGTGGATTGGTGGATTGGTGGATTGGTGGAGTTATGATCTAATGGATGGACTGATGGACTTATAATCTGATGGATGGACTGATGGATTGATGGACTTATGGACTGATGGACTTATGGTCTGATGGATAGATTGATAGACTGATAGACTTATGGTCTGATGAATGAACTGATGGACTTATGATCTGATGGATGGACTGATAGATTTATGATCTGATGAATGGACTGATGGACTTATGGTCTGATGGATAGATTGATAGACTGATAGACTTATGGTCTGATGAATGGACTGATGAATGGACTGATGGACTGATGGATTGACAGACTTATGGACTGATGGACTTATAGTCTGATGAATAGACTGATAGACTGATGAGCTTATGGTCTGATGGATAGACTGATGGACTTATAGTCTGATGGATAGACTGATAGACTGATGAGCTTATGGTCTGATGGATAGACTGATGGGCCCATGGTCTGATGGATGGACTGATGGACTTATGGATTGATGAACTTATGGACTTATCACTGATAATCTAATGAACTCATGAACTTATGTAGATCACGGACTTAGACAAAATTGACAGTTTGAGAATTTGGAAAGTTTTGACAATATGAAAATTAGGAATTTTTTTAACTTTGCTCACCTAAACATTCCAAAATAAAGAATGTTGCATAACTAAAGAGGCATTGTATACAATTTTCCCCTAGAAGGAATAGAGCATGTATTCCGCATGCACGCGCGACCATACGTGTTTCCTACGGGACCGTCCTTTTTTCCACCGTTTCCGTTTTCGTATCGCAAGCGGCCACGGTTCTCCGGCCAGAGCCACGGTCATTGTTCAAGTCTATCGTGATAAGCCAGCGCAGCTGCATTTCCGGGGCTTTCGCGTAATCGTTGCACGCGCAATGAATTTTATGGCGGATACGTGCGGCGAATTTGTCAAGCGAAAAGAGATAATGTGACGCGTCGGATCATCCCACCGATTCCGTGCGAAACACCTGAAAATTTCTTTTTTTCTCCACACAATGTCAACAATGCTACACAATTTTTGCTATCTCGCAAACTACACCTCTCTGCTGCAAACGTCCGTGGTTTTAACATAAATAGGTACATTTACAACATAAATAGGTACGTTTACAACGTAAATAGGTTGTCCGACGTTTAATAACGTAAATAGCGCATGTGTCATCGTTGTATAACATAAATAGCCTGTGTCAACATTTTATGACATAAATAGTCCATGTTTATATTTAATAATATAAACAGTACATTTGATAAATAGCACATGTGTCACCATTTAATAAATGCCCTATTTAGTAACAGAACTTTAGAATTAATGACTGCAAATTGGAAGCATTTTAGATCTTCACACTTGAAGATTCACAGGAACGTTTCAATTATATTCAAGTAACAGATTGAAACATTTTTTTGTGAGATGGAGGATAGGATGTACCTATGAGATTACAATCCCAGGTGTAACAAGGCGCAAAGTAGCTCCAGGATATTTAGACAATAGAATCGATGAGAGTTTCTTTAGGAGCAGGTATAACAAAGTTGATCGAGTTTCATTTCAGCAGACCGGATGTCTCGTGTCGACGTCACGTGGTCCGCGAGGAAACCGGATGCAACAGCTTGCCGTGCGAGAAGCAGCCGACTGCACTTCCGCTTCAACGCAGCCCCTGACCCGTGAATTAATATTTCATCGTGGTTGCATTTTGTCACGCTCTTCCTCTCTCTCTCTCTCTCTCAGCCTCGATTTTCACGGTTCGTTTTTCATCGACTGCTCCGTTCCTCTTTTGTTCCCTCTCGAATCATTTACGTTCCTCTGCATCTTTGACCGTGAATTCGAGCCACGCCATTTACCGCCCTCCCAGAAAGTATCGCCATTTACCGCTCACTCGTCGAACCTACAGAATTGTTTGCGCTCGCTTGCCTCCCCTTTGTTCGACCGATCGATCAACGATTTCACGTATTTCCATTCCGCTCTCGATACACCCTGCCATTGCTCAACGGAATATTGTTAGGTTCTTGCCTCCGTTTCTCAGAAGAGTGTTCGATCTTGGAAAAGCTGCCGATTGCTCCGAAAGTCGTTCGTGATTCAATTGTCGCTGTAATTTCGACGAAATTCTACCGATTGTGACGGAGATTTCCAATGGTTAGGTGGCTAGAAGGGTTTATTTCTGCAGAGTTCGTTTCAGGATTTCTACTAGATTTTCTTCGACCAGGGTTGCATGTGGTACAGTAACTTTAGGACCTTTAGAGATCTAACTTTTGAGGTTCAGTAATATATCATTGTGCATATAGCTTATAGCATTATACATACAGGATGTCTCGCAAATCGTGTAGCTCCTGGAAAGGGGTGGTAGAGGACGCGATTCTAAGCAAGATTTCCCTTTGCAAAAATGGGATTTGAAGCTTCGTTTCTGAGTTATTAAAGAAAAACACGGACCAATCAGAGCGCGAGGATTCGGCGCCAGTCACGGCGCGCAGTCGCGAGAGCGACGCCTTCGAGCATAATGGCCGACTGGGCGTAATCCTCGCGCTCTGATTGGTCCGTGTTTTTGCTTAATAGTTCAAAAGCGAAGCTTCAAACCCCATTTTTCCAAAGGAAAATCTTATTCAGAATTACGTCCTCTACCACCCCTTTTCGGGAGTTACACGTGTTGTGAGACACCCTGTATAGCATTATACATGTAGCATTATACAAGTAGCATTATACATATAGCGTTATACATGTAGCACTATACATGTAGCATTATACAAGTAAAATACGAGACACGTGTTGCAAGCAACAAATCAGTATCCCCGTCACGCGTTCTTTGACAAATAAAGCAATAATTATTTGTTAGAAAGAGCCGTTGTCCATTATGAAGTAAGTTCGTTGAACAGCATGTTCTCTCGAGGTGGATAAATTCCTGTGGAAAATTTCATAAAGCATCCTGAGTAGAATCTCTGTTTGCTTGCAGAACGAAAACAGAGCGTTGCGACTGAAAGAGCCTGCATCGTTGGCTCTGTCCGCCGGAAATTCCGGCAACTACGTGGATCCGGATGGCACAGCCATTGTGATGTCGTCTGAGCTGTTACCAGCACCCACTCCGGATCCGAGGGTGACATGGAACTACTTTGACGAACAGGGGTAAGTACAATGCTCTTTTTCCTTCGTCCTTTAAAACTTTATTTTAATCTGACACTTTGACTGTCACATATTTCGTCAACCCTTTCTTCTTTCTCATTATTTATGGGATGAGGTAGAAGCTGAATAACTTGACTATTGTAGAAAATTATAGGCTGTTAGATTGCTTTTGATAGGAAGAATCATTTGATTAACTTTATCAATTAGACTTAAATTATTTGATATCGAGTGGATGCTAAATCTCGATGCATTTTGATACAATGTCTGGTGTATTTTTTCTGTCAGCAATAGCAACGGTGTCTCCTGCGTTAAAAATGATTATTGTCCGATGTTAAAAATGAAGAATGATTCGCGAGGATCGATGGAGTCACCGAATTCTCTGAAACACAGATTTCCATATTGTAATTAACACGTTGTCCAATAAACGACTGCAGAATTAATGAAGTAGAAAGGTTCGTAATTAGCGTTCGGTATCGATTGGCAGGTACGTTTCGAGAGGGGGTCTCCGAGCAGGGGAAGACCCGTACGCCAGGAACAAATTCAACCAGGAAGCCAGCGACGGTCTCCCCAGCAACCGCGATATTCCGGATACTCGCAGTGCCATGTAAGTGAATTATAAAATACATCTGTTAAACGTAGCGATCGGGAACGCGCCTGTATTCCTTAAATATTGACTCGGTAGCGACCTTTGAGTCTCTTCAAACATTTCGGGGATGTTCATGCATTTCGATCGACGTTTATTTGCAAAAGGGGAAATGGAAGGGAAAAGGAGAATCGAGGAAAGTTGAATGTTTTATGCGACAAAAGACGCGAAAGAACGATGTTCCTGTTCGGAATATTGATTCGACACCGGGGGGTGAAAGTTTCGGAAAAAATATTCCGGATCCCTTTTACGAGTTATTCTTCCGGATAGGGTGACGTCTCTCCTCGTTTACCCGGCTCTTGTCTAGCAAGCCGCGAACTAACTTCTCATCGAATCTCTGAATATTTCATCGCGTTACATCGGGTTACGAAGACAAACGCAAAGAAACGGCGCCGGAGACGGAAACAAGGGAACCACACCTCATGGTAAGTCGATCTCGCGACGAGATCTCGATGGAGCACGTTCCTCGTACACCGAGCTTTCATTTATCTTCCTTCGCTCCGTTCTTCAGCATTCCTAAGGAGATCGTTAATTAGCTAGACGTGGAGATCGATCGAAGGAACTTCTTTGCACTGGTCCTTCCAAGCTCGGTTAAAGATTAATACTTGCTCATCAAACGGGAAAACCAACGGAGAGTTTGATGCAAGGAATCTGTTACCTTTTTCTCGTCGTTACTCGACCTTCAATTAATTATCACCAGGTAATTAGCTCGCAAGGTTAGGTTCTCTTTTGCAGCGGGATAATTTTGATGCTTTGCAAATTTCTTTGAAATTATATGAAGATGTGGAGAATTTATATAGTTGAGAGCTCGGGAATTTGATAATTTAAAGACGTATAAGTATGGAAGGTTCTCTATGTTGATGTCTAGAAATGTAGAGTGTGGAAACATTTCTAAATTTGCAAATTCAAAGACGTAAGACCTCAGACGTTTGCAGGTTTGAGTCTTAATATGGAAGTTTCTCAATGTTGATGTCTAAAAATGTAGAGTGTTGAAAATTTGATAATTTAAAGACGTATAAGTATGGAAGGTTCTCTATGTTGATGTCTAGAAATGTAGAGTGTGGAAACATTTCTAAATTTGCAAATTCAAAGACGTAAGACCTCAGACGTTTGCAGGTTTGAGTCTTAATATGGAAGTTTCTCAATGTTGATGACTGAAAATGTAGAGTGTTGAAACATTTCTAAATTTGTAAATTCAAAGACGTAAGACCTCACACGTTTGCAGATTCGAAACTTAAAAATGTTTATTAAAAAATTAAAACTGAATATTCGGTTTTGAACGCATCATAAAAAATGTATGAAACCCATCACTACTCCAGGATCTTAATATGGAAGTTTCTCAATGTTGATGTCTAAAAATGTAGAGTGTTGAAACATTTCTAAATTTGTAAATTCAAAGGCGTAAGACCTCACACATTTGCAGGTTCGAAACTTAAAAATGTCTACTAAAAAATTAAAACTTTTTCGAAGTCGGTTAAAAATCCTACGTGTGAGTTTAATGTCATCATGTGGTAACTTGCAGTAATTCGACAACCTTTGTGTATCTTATGTAGTTTTGGTTAGAAGATACGAGGATAGTAGATATTTATTTTTCAGAAATGTGTAAAACACGAATTCTGCGTAAGACCTCACACATTTGCAGGTTCGAAACTTAAAAATGTCTACTAAAAAATTAAAACCGAATATTAATTTTTGAACGCATGATAAAAAATGTATGAAACCCATCACTACTCCAGGATCTTAATATGGAAGTTTCTCAATGTTGATGTCTAAAAATGTAGAGTGTTGAAGCATTTCTAAATTTGTAAATTCAAAGACGTAAGACGTCATACATTTGCAGGTTCGATACTTAAAAATATCTATTAAAAAATTAAAACCGAATATTCATTTTTGAACGCATCATAAAAAATGTATGAACTACTCCAGAATCTAGCACATAATATTATAAAACTTGACACCGTGTTAAATATCTTGCGCGACTAACGAGTTCAAGATGGCGTCCTTTTCCCATGAATGCGTAAATATTTGAAGATGCAACATCTGCGTCAGTTCGTGAAATGTTTGCCTGATACGGAGGGAAGTTGCATCGGAACGAAGAGGATACGAATGAATGTTTGAAAGTATCGCGACGAGTCTCGCGGCAGAAGTCAGCAGCGATCAAAAGCCGCGTGAAATGTCTGCCACGATTTCTGGCTACGACGAGTCGCCATGTTTAATGCAACGAACGCTGCAGTCGGTCGGTGCACACGGGCTGCCGCATAAATATTTAAGTTACTCACGTTGCGTATAAGTGATACAACTATTCCATTATCAGGAACAGCCGGTCGCCGGGTTGAGGAACATCCGTACAAGAATCCCAACGGCGAAGATGAAACCACGCGGGTGAATAATTCATGAGAAGTCGAGCGTTTCTTACCGTCGTTCTAATTCGCGATAATATTTCATTTTTAATCGGGCGGTTGTTTACGGCAAATATCGTGTAAATGAACTAAATTAACTTCTGTAGGAAAATTATGGAGTTTTAGAAATTTGAAGTCATCGTGTTGCAAGATGATGTTTTGATATTGGTACCTGGGTTTCTAAATTTTGGAAGTAATGTAATTCTGAAGGTTTCGGTAGTGATGGAGTATTGTAAGGACATCCCCAAGTCTTCATATCTCCAAATCTCCACATGTCCAAGTCTCCACATATACAAATCTCCACATATATAAATCTCCACATATCCAAATCTCCACGTATATAAATCTCCACATGTCCAAATCTCCACATATTCAAATCTCCACATATCCAAATCTCCACATATCCAAATCTCCACATATTCAAATCTCCACATGTCCAAATCTCCAGTTATCCAAATCTCCACATGTCCAAATCTCCACATATCCAAATCTCCACATATTCAAATCTCCACATGTCCAAATCTCCACATATTCGAATATCCCCATATCCAAATCTCCACATATACAAATCTCCACATATTCAAATCTCCACATATTCAAATCTCCACATGTCCAAATCTCCACATATTCAAATCTCCACATGTCCAAATCTCCAGCTATCCAAATCTCCACATGTCCAAATCTCCACATTCCCAAATCTCCACATATCCAAATCTCCACATATCCAAATCTCCACATTCCCAAATTTCCACATCCCCAAATCCCCACATCCCCAAATCTCCGCCTCCCCAAATCCCCATCTCCCCAAATCTCCACCTACCCAAACCTCCACATCGCCAAACCTCCACACTCCCAATTTCCCTAATTCCTCCATTCCCAGCCCCCAAACCCCAATTCTCAAAATACCAACCCAATGAAATCCTCGAATTCCCAAATTTCTAGGTTCCAAATTCCAAAAGGCGAAAGTAGCCAAATCCCAGAGTTCTTATTGAGTGTACATAGCAACATAGTCGAAGTGCAGGCATTAAATGAAGTCGAGTATTCGATCGACGAGGTCGCTGTCGGTACTTGTTGAACGTGTCTGTTCAAGTGAAATAGGATACGATCGATGGACGAAAGCGTAGGTAGAGTAGCTAGGAAATTAGATCACCGTGGAGAATTGGAAGAGAGGATTCAGAGACAGTTGGAAAGGCAGCGACGGAAAATGTATTCAGGGTTTATACACGAACCTTTCGATTTCGAATCGTTCAATAGGGAAAGCTGTTATACGCAAAGTTTATGTTCTGTGAAAGTACTGTTACGAACAAGGAAATTCTATTTTATAGAAAGAATATTATAATGCGAGGAAAAATATTGTCGATTTAAGCTTGCAGGCAGTAATTAATAGCAAATATTGGAAATATTAATTGGGAAATATTTGATGCATCATCGATTCTAGGTGTTTCGAATGAATGACGCGTAGAGTGGGAGCTTCGGGCACAAACAGCGAATAAATTACAAGCGCATAAAAGTTAGAGGTGGACTCTGAAATTAGATTGGTTCCATTAACCATTGGGTTGAATGGACACCGACTGGCATAGAATTTATTTCCAACGTCGCTCGGTAATTAATTCGTCCTGCGCTGCCTGAATTTTCCCGAACAACGTTTCTCTTTAATCGTCGATTTTCATCGGAGTCTGATGACGAGATTTATATTAAAAATATCGGCTAAATGTTTACGTCAGCGCTCTTATTCCTATACCGCAAAATTTATACACCATAATATATACACATATGATCATGTATGTAGACTTGTGACCATGTATGTAAACTTGTGACCATGTATGTAGACTTGTGACCGTGTATGTAGACTTGTGAGTATCTCTGAATATGTCAGTGAAATTTCGTGATCTTCGCTGTCACGAAATTCTCATCATTGAAATTGATATGCAGATAGTTAATTATGTAATGGACGTTTTAGAACGGTCACCGAATGGAAAGTCTTTTGGCAGAATTTCGGCGGAAAGCAGTGCTGAAAATGTTATGTATTGATCGGTAGGAAATTGATTCGTCACACAATTTGCGAGCATGAATCTCTCATTCTATTAAGCCCGGTAATTGACAGCTACCCACGGTTGACCTATTCGTCGGATGGAAATCGATTTGTCACGGGAATAAATTATTAGGCCCGTATCCGAAGCGTAGCACGATTCCCAGAAATAACACCGGTAATATGTAAATTCCGCGATGCGATTTGCAAAAGTATATTTGTCGCACGATACAATAGAATACCGAAGGAAAACACTTGGACATAATCGGACAAAGTACAATTCTTTAAAAAGAAATAAGTTGCTTCAACGTCACGATGAATACTCTCCCAATTTGCTTCTGTCAGAATTTTCTGTATTTGGACCTGCGAGAAGATCGACGTTAAATGACCGACGTTGTGCGGAGTTAAAAATATTTTTAACGAACCTAATTTTTCTTCGACATCCTCCGTCGTCGATGTTGCCTCTCGGCCGCCCAAATGTACGGACGTTTCCGAGACATGTCCATGAATTCCCAACGATGAGCAGCGATCTT